AATGAAAAGATCATGGAACTTTTCTGGAAACTCTTTGAAGGCCCTCTATATATGACACACTGATCACTTCATTAGCAGTACAGGGAGAGGGAAGCAGGGGATTATTCCTGATTGAGTAGTCACTGTGCACAGACACAGGGCAGGGTCTTAGTTTAAGTTATTGAAGTAACCTCGGGCTCAAAACAGTCCCATAACAGAGATAAGAGTCCCTCTTTCTGGAGACAAAGAAACTGATGCTCTTTGAAGAGACTTTAAGCAGATGCCCTAAGATTATACACTGTAAAAGGGATGCCCTGATTTTTAAAAAAGAGAAAAATAAGAGAAGAAAACTCACAGCCACATCATTTTAGAAAGTCTTGCTTTCAAAATATTTAGTTTTGACAAAGCTCAATATTCTCAAGATTTGAGGAGGCATTTGTTGTACACATGCTTAAGACACCCAAGCGAAGGTGCTTGTATGTTCCCAGTGAGAGGCGCACAGTGGGAATTAATTGAATGGCGTTACAAGCCTCAAACTCCATATCTGTCATAAGCCAATCAGACATCAAGCAAGTCATTCAACTTCAGTTTCCACAAGGCATACAATGTGAACGTGACTTAGCTTTAGTGATCTTTCCAAACTCTGATTCTTTGTAAACCAGAATGTTGTTTAGTCTATTCTAAATCTTCTCGCTTTTCATTATTTTTTAGACATTCCTTGGAATAAAATGAAACCAACAAATGTAGACAGGGAAATCCATTGGCAATAGTTTGAAGCAAATAATTATCCGTAGTTTTTTTCATCGAAATATTCTCTTCCGGCTCTTTCCAACTTTTTTTTTGACTTGATACATATAATGAGGTCCGTATCCTAACCCCCTAGACTCTGTCCATGCAAGTTTATTTACATACAGAATCTTTGCAGATCTGCTTAAATCATCAAAGCTCTTAGGATGAGTTTATCATCAAGGAGGGCCCTAAATCCAGTGTCGAATGTGCTTTCCAAAGACAAATGTCCTTAAAAGAGATGTCAAAGGGGAAAGGTGGTGGGGAGGGACCCCGTGAAAAC